TTTTGTCGAAAAACGAAATTTTTCTCAAAATTGACGTGTTTTCATTGAGCAAATTTATTTTCAAAATTCTAATTTGTGCATTTTCATGGTCAATGGAAACGCAGCTACTATTTTGTTAGTTTGTACTTTTGCCTTTCAGCAAAAAGGTTGCAGGTTTGAAACTTGCCTGCTCCCTTGCTACATGCATATGTGCCCCCACCTCCCCCCACACACACAGGTTTTTTTCATACAGTTCAAAAACAAGCATGTTAGAGGAATTGGCATTTCTGTGAGTCTATTTGTGAAAGGTTGTTTGTCTCTGTGTTGTCTTGTAATAAACAAAACCCAACGGCTTTTAGATTTTCCCAAACAACCTGCTGTTTGGGACAACTAGATTCTATCTTGTGGTGGACATCCAAGTGAAAGCATGGATTTAAAGTTCACCACCGCCACAACAGATTTCTGTCAACAGTGAAAATGAAAGAATGAAAAAATAAAATTGTGTTTGTTGTGGTCGTCTTAAAGCTGTTCAACCAGTGAAGATACAGAGTTTACTCTGATGGTTCTTTAAACCAATAAAGAGAACCACAGTCAAAGTTTTACCCAATCAGAGCGGGGCAGGGCAGTGGATGGACACTGAACATTCTGACCTCCTTTAGTGTCTAAAATCTAACTTTGTATTAATGTAATGATTTTAAAGCCTCATTGTTATTTTATAGACATGTACAAGGTGAACTGCCTGGCTGCTGTTAGCATTTTCAGGTGGATCGTTTATGACAAAATACACGTGCGAATTTTAGCTAAATATTTGCATTTGAGTTGATCCACTCTATTAGTTCGAGCAAAACTTGCCGGCTGACTGCCACAATAAAACGTATTTTACTTGCCGAGTTGTGCGTTCAGCGTGGCTCTAGGCTGAGACTCTGAGGATGAGGCAGTGGAGGAAGGACGACGCAGCACGTCGAAGGCGGTGCACTTCGTTAATTCTACACCATGAAGCCAGAGGTGTTTAATCATATTAGTTGTGCACCTTCCTTTGCACGAAATAACTTTACCACAAGTGTTGCACTTAACCGAGTGGTCGTTTATTTTAGTAAAGTTGAGCCACATTTGTGAACGCCGCCGAAAACCTTCTATATTTGCAAAACAATGCGGCTCTGCGAAGTGCACGCGTGCTTCTTCTTCGTTGGTGTTTAGGCTACTTCTGGTTGGTGGACTAAGAATCGAAACAAGGAATCAAAGTTTTAGAAATTGAACGATTCCTGGAGAATCGGAATGTTAGTCCCGGTTCCAATCGATACTCGAGACTCGATGCCCAACCCTACTTGTAGGTGTTTTGTGCCAAACTTGACTATAATTAGAAGACTACTGAGAGGTAACTGACCTGAGATGAATGCAATTCAATAGATATAAAAAATAAAGGGTAATAAATGCTTATATGAGCTGAGATTCTGAGAAAATTGACGTTGTCGTTAACAACTCCTCCTGTTTGCTGATTGGCTTGGTTGAACTTTTACTGGAGAAATCCCAGACGGAGCAGTGAAGGGAAACTATAATTGAGTGTAACTCTTTAGAAAAGCAAGGGCCAGGCTTTACAACTGATTACCTTTTGAAGTCAACCCAATTCCAAGTGGTCTCCACAGCTAATCAAGCTTAACCAACACAAAAATATCTATAACTTAGTCAAATGTGACCCTTCATATTGAAATGAGGATTAAGTCAAATTTGGTCAAAATGACCTAATTACATTTTCGGATTTGTGACTTTAAAAGCTACATTTTGATACCTGGATCATTCTGATATCATAATTAAATCCATATATATGACTTAATTTGTCTTGTTGGTTACAATAATACATAAATATTTGGTCTGAATCCTAATTTGATGTCATTTTAATGAGGAATTTTTGATGGCCTTTTAAAGAGGAAACCTCAAATTATATTTGAATATTGAGATTTACCAGCTGAAAAGAAACAAAACTTTACTAACTCACAGGGAAAATCTCAAAATTTTAAGGCGTTTTTCCTCAAAATCAGTTTTTTTGTTGCTACTGCTCAAAAAAGTGCTTCAAAATTTAGTTTTGTGATTATTTTTCAGACAGTTCATTCAAATGATACATTAATAAGGTTTTTATTCATTATATTTTGACAAAATGCAATTTTGTTAACATTTTAATCAAAACACTATATTTGCCTTTTTCTCCTTATACCACTTTTAGACTTGAACCTTGTTTCGATGTGATGGGTCACAAATAGCTAAATACTGAGCTAAACTTTGTTGTGACAGCAGGTGAGTGTTATTCACATCACACACTCTGAGCACTAACAGATCTCACAATAACACATTTACAGAGTTGACCAACAGAACTCTGTCCCTTCTCATCAGAAAATGATCCTAGTTCAACACTGGAATAAAAGACAGAAGGCGACACTCATCTCAGTGCTTCCCGTTAATTAGAAGTGAGTTTTAAAAATAAATTTCAGATACAAACGTTCATCAAGGTGTTAGTGTGTGGACTCATTCCTCTACAAAAACAGAAAAAGCTACTTCTGAGCGGCAGTGGTCCTGTTTTAGACACACTTTCCAACAATAATGCATCACAGGATGCATTTATCTTCCTTGATACAACATGCACACAACATGCACACAAGGCACAAGAATACCTGCTGTAGAGCACCGCATCAGACTCCTAAGAAAAAAAAACTGATTACAAATTTCCATCAAACCGGAGTCTCAAGGTCTCTGTCTCTGTGTAGCAGCAGGAGGAAAAATGCTCCCAAATGAAAGTGTTGATTAAAATGTGACATGCTGTGTCTTTACTCGTGACAGCACAGTGACATCCTCCATCTTCATAGACGCCTGAAGCCTTTCATTCTACTGCCGGTGATGGACACACGTCCTCCTGCTATTTAAAGCTCCACTGAAAAATTACCTTTATACGCTGGTGTCATGAGTGTTTTTCCACAGCCTTAAACACACGTTTCAGTCCATGCCGGTTTGATGATGATAAGCTGATGTTAGTGTGAAAATTATAAAGCTTTTGCAAGTTACAGTCTTTTTTAAAGTTTTAAGACGTAAAAAGTGAGATATTTGTGACCCGTCGCATCGAAACGAGGATTAAGTCCAAAAGTGGAATGTGGAAAAACAGGCAGATATACGGTTTTGATTTAAACATGTGCAAAAATTGCATTCTGTCAAAATATAATCAATAAATAATTTGAATGAACTATCTGAAATATAATCCTAAAAAAACCTTTTGGGAGCTTTTTTTGGGCAGTAGCAAATAAAACCCTGATTTTGAGGAAATATGCCTTAAACTTTAGAATTTTTTCATGTGAGCTAAAAATGTTTTTGTTTCTTTATAACTGGGAAATCTTAGTATACGAGTAATATTTGAGATTTACTCTTTATATTAACATCGAAAAATTACTCAATAAATTTACATAAAATTAGGATTCAGACCAAACAGTAATGTATTATCGTAACAAACAAGACAAATTAACTCATATCTCTGGATAAGCTTTGATATCAGAATGATCCAGGAATCAAAATGTAGCTTTTAAAGCAGGAATTTGAAAATGTAATTAGGTCATTTTGACCAAATTTGACTTAATCCTCATTTCGATATCATCAATTATATTTCTGCCCTTTACTCCATGTATGCTCTTGTCTGTTGAACTATTAGGAAGAGTTGAGTAAAACTTTTGATAAATAATCATTAGAGATACATCAAGGTGTAATTAACTTTTGAATGGAATCCAATTGAAAATGGCCACCACAACTAACAAAACAGCCAACAGTGAAATGGCTATAA